ATCACTTGCACAGTTTGACGAATTGCTTGCAGGCCCTCCAGCAATCCATAACTCGCTCTTTCTTCCTCTGCTGCCCTCATTCTCTGCACCCCCTACTCTCTCCTTTTCTCAGATCCGCTCCCCCTTCTATTCCACCCTCTCTCGCCGACTCCAGGTAATCTGAAATGGCACTGACCCTTCTCATCCTCTGATTACCACTCTGAAGCATGAACTTAGGGTAAAATCACACATCAGAAAATTCGCCGTAATTATTTTGCGATGCTATCAGCACCGATCAATCACGCGCGCGGCCCAGTGCCGGAATGCCCGGCGCAGCCCCGGACGCGGACCCGCGTCCCGCCTGACTGACAGTTTTGGTAATTAAGTGATTGAATAGACCTCTCCGACTGTTCTAACAACCTTGTCAGGGCCTGTCTGTGGACAGAACAAGCTGAAATCAATGTGCTTCCTGCTCTCTGAGCAGTTCTGATCGTGTACGCAGACTGATGGGGAGGGGGGAATCTGACAAAAGGAAAACAGCAGCTCTGAACGACTGGATTATGGGGAGAGGGGGGAAGGTAGAAAGTTTACTTCTTTGTCAGGGATGGGAGGGACCCGGGACGTGGGTCAGGTCACTAGAGCTTTGCTGAGCCGGGAGGCTGGCGGGGGGTGGAGCGAGAGGCCGGGCGCCGGTCACACCTGCGCGCCCCGGCCGGGCAGGCGGCACCTAGTCCACGTCCGGGAAGGGGTCGCGCAGGTAGGGGTCTTCCCCGGCTGCAGCCGAGGGGCCCCGCCGGGCCGCTGACTGCCGCATCCCCGCACGCCGAAGCCAGCATTCGGCGGTACAACACATTTTCTCTCGGATTAGAGGCAGAGGCTGGTGGCTCAGTGTAAATGTCACGCAGCAGCTTTTAATAAAGGAATGTTCAGATTGTTAGACTGCGCGGTACCATGTGAGTTCTGTGCCGCACCCCCTTCCCAATCCTGCTTCAACCCGCCCCCCCATTCCCGTCACACCTCGGCGCGCGTTACAAATATATTACATATTCAGAGTGATCTCGCCGCGGCGCCCGCGGGAGGGGCCCTCTCTCGGAGCCTAGCATCCACCTCGCCGAAGGCTGCGGGCCGGCCGCTGGGCTGGCAGCAGGGACGGGAGAAAGCCCCAGACCGGACCTACTCTGCGGGCGCTGCTTTTCCGCTGTATCCTCGAATCTCGGGAAGAAATTCCCACTGGGAAGGGGATCCTAAGAGCGCCGAGCTAGGAGGCGGGACCTCCAGTTCTCGGCCAAGGGGCTCCAGTTAAGAGTATTTTAATTCTTTCACAAAGCCCTCCCAAACCTTAAAAACCTAACCAATTGCAGGCACACATACAAACGGGGGAAGGGTAGCAAAATCAGTCCGTCGGGTTCAAAGAGCCAGGGCCCGGGAGGAGGCTGCAGGGTGCTTGGCGTGTGGCAGAGCGCGAGCGAAGGGTCCCATCCACCTCGCAGAGGCGGCGGGCCCAACCCAGAAGATACCTGGCTGGCTCTCGCTCTCTCTCCGTGTGTGTGTGTGTGTGTGTGTGTGTGTGTGTGTGTGTGTGTGTGTGTGTGTGTGTGTGGCGTCGTACGTCCGCTC